GGAGTGGTTATCGTGGCCGCCACCGCCAGTCTTCTGTCGGCTGTTGACGATTGAGAGTGCATAGTCATCGTGGCTGCATAACACAACACAACACAGCACCATAGGTAGCACAATGCCACCGAGATGCCTCAGTGTTGGACTGGATTCTGAAGACATGAGACCCATAGAATTGCCCGAACCCGAAGGCAGACGCCAATCCCTCGAGCAATTGGCTACCCGTTAGCCTTGAGGACTCAGGAAAGAAAAAGCCAATGGTGGTCGGGTCGTGTTCCTCTCTCAGTCCTGGTCCTGGTCTTGGGTCTTGGCTTGTTCGTGACCCTGGTCCTGGTCCTGGTCCTGGACAGTCTTGGAAGCACCCCGGTCACGTCAAACCCACTCTTTTCTGCAAGCTCCAACCACCCAATGGCAGCGCCAGTGGTGACTGTGACTGCCCCATTATTCTCCCGGGCGTCCATCCACTGCTTCCACGTCCTTGCCGTTTTGCGCTTGCTTCCCAGTCCACGTCCCAATCTCCAGTCGCGGTGAATCAGTGAGGTGTTTGGTCGATTCCTTTCCCATGCTGCTAGCGTCGACTTTCGCACCAGCCGTCATTTCCATCCACATCATCCGTCTGTCTGCCCTGCTTCTGCTTGCCTGCCTTGCTTAGCTGCTAACCTGGAATCGAATCGTCGACTGAGGTGAGGTGAGGTGCAGCTGCGACCCGGCTTCTGCCTTTTTACCTGTAACTTCCCTCCGCCGCTCCACCTCTGCTGCTCTGCTCTGCTCTGTCGATTCTGGGAACGTTGTCTTCCTCTCGCCTCTCGTTCCCTTCTCCCCTGCCTTCTTCCGCATTTCAGTCAAGCTCCATTCGTTTCTTCGGTTTTTTTTCTTCCATTCCTGCCCCCCGAGCACCTCTAAATTTTTACCTTTCCACCTTGGCTAGTCTGTCCAGCACCCCCCGGTCACCGTAGAGGGAAAAAACACAGAGAACACAGAGAGAGGAAGGAGGGAAATACCCAACACCACCACACAATCGCTTCGCTGCAGCACCCAGCATTCGTCTCTCGCTTCCCTGTCCTTGCCTGCTTGCTTGCTTGCTCGGGGTCTCACTCTGCTGCTGCTTCCACAATCTACATTGCCTACAGCCGCTGCCGGCGCCGCTCTTCTGCTACCTTTCCTGTGGCTGCAGTCTGCAGATACTATACTATCCGCGGTAGCTAGGTAGATACCTTCCAGGTTACTCCACGGATACCGGATCTCAATTGCGTTGCTGCTGCTGCTGCTGCTCGGCACCAGCCACTTCGCTCGCTTGCCTTCCTTGCCTGCCTCTTTCGCTTCCCTCCTCTTGGCTCCTGCTTCTTTTCTTCCCAGGACTGCCTGACCATCGACACCTCTAACCTTTCTTCACCTCACCTCACTCCTCGCCTCCTCCTCCTCCTCCTCCTCACCACCCAACCGAACCGGCACCTGATCCCAAGGACGCCTGGTATCCCACGACGGCATCATCCTGCCTGCCCTGTCCGACCTTGTGTGTCCTTCCTCCACCCCCAGGCACCAGGTTACTCCCTCGACGACACGCACACCCGGCACTTTCACCCAAGAAGGAGCGCCATAATATACCTCGACCACGCTTCGTCTGCTTGCGCACCCGGCGGTCTTGCCTTGTCTCAAAGGTCCCCAATTCTTATTCCCAATCCACGCGCTAGCTGTCTCTAGGGGCAATCATCCAGTCGCTTGGTCGGTGCTTGGCTTGCTTCTGCTAGTATCATTCCGCGCCTTCACCTTGATTTCGCCCACTTTCATCATTTCTGCCCTCCGTCCACACTTGGCACCAACAAATCTTGTACAAACGCCACGGCCCGGTCGACTTCCCTTCCTGCCCTTTTCCCAGAACCCTCCGCTCAACCGGCCACATCCTCGCTCGAGCAGGTACGCACTGGAGGCTCTTCTCGCTTGCTCGTAAAGAAGATCATCTTCCCTTCGACATCCTCGCCAGTTCGACCAGTCGAGACGTCTTCGTTGCCGTCTTCGCCACAGCGTCGACCCCCGTGCGGTTTCCCGACTGCCCTGTGTGGTCGTGTAGGACAAGCAACGGATCACACCTTGGAAGTGGGATTTTAACCTTTCCTCCCGCTGCCCACCGACCGATCCAGACGTCAGATGTCAGCTTTGTGAGGCCTTGACTCCGGGAATTGTGAGTCCTAGATCTCCCCCAGTCATGGGTTCCGAGCCTATGCCGGAACCTAAAATATTCTTTCCCCTCAGTTTCCAACACCGACGCTGACTGCTACTTTCTTTTCAGACTTGCCCATCGCAAAACAGAAAAATGGCATTCACCGATCGATTCACGAGATGCTGGGCCATCTTTGCCCTCGTCATTCTGTCATGTGCCGCGCTGGCCAACGCCACGCCCGACCCTAGAATGCTCGACTCCAGGATGTTGGAACCAAGACAGCTGAAGCAGACGCTCTGCTCAAGCTCAAACACGGCATCAATGGGCGCAAGTACGTCTACGAGTTCCCTGAAGGCAAAGCGGCGGTTCAATGGATCGACATCGACGTCGTACTCCCTGCCAGCCGATACGAGCCTTCGTATGAATTACATTTGAAAACCCAATACTAACATGGGGCCACAGATCTCAGTATATGGCAGACTAACGGTCTCTGTTCCGACTTTTGCAGAGGCAAGAACTTCGCCTTCGCCATTGTTCAGTACCAGTCTTGCTGGTGCTCCGACGTCGCCCCGGCCGCGTCCTCCGAAGCCGATGTCGAAGACAAATGCAACGACATTTGTCCCGGCTACGACACCGAGAAGTGCGGTTCACGACCGAACTGGTACGGGTACATTCAGTTGTCAAAGACCCCTACTAGCACCGCAGGCGGCGATGCCGCCACTACCTCTGCTGCTGCGGCGTCAACAACACAAGTTAGTCCCCCCCCCATTCCTGATGTTTCGTGAAGCGTATGCATGATTTCTTGTGTGATTTTCTTGGCCGATGAATTTCGTCACCTCACCAACCCATGTGATGCCCTGGCTTAATCGTCTGGAACCAGGCCCCTCCGGCCCCTGTCCCAACAACCGTTCAAGTCACAGTAACTGAGACTGAGACACCTCAGAAAACGACAACCTCCGACCCAACAACGTCGACGACCCCGTCAACCACTTCAGTACGCCTCAGCAACCCCCATCAACACGCCGTAAATCGATTGTCAATTCCGTAGATGGCAACGTGCGTTTCTCGAGAGTTGATGCTGACTTGTGTGCTAGACAACGACGACATCGAGAAAACCGCAGACGTCCGTCCAGACCGTCACCGCCGATGGAACCGTTAGGACTGTTACTGTCACTCCTACGGCTACGGGAACCGATGGCGCGACAGGGGCCTCAGAGCTGTCCCCCTCGAGCTCGGCATCGTCATCGAATGGACTGAGCACCGGTGCCGTCGTTGGAGTGGTAGTGGGAGTTATTGCGGCAGTGGTAGCATTCGCAGGACTAGGTCTCTTCCTGTTCTTCCGACGACGCAAGCAACACCAGGAGAACGAAAAGTACGACGAGCCCAGCCACCGTGGCAGCTCAGCCGGTATGACGGGCTCACCGCGTAATCCCGAAATGGTTGTGACAGTTGATGGTGGACGATGGGATGCCGACTCGACCAGCGACCACCGCCGCAGTCGCCTCATGGCACACGATCCTCGCATGGAGCCCCTCGGAAGGGGCCTGTACCTGAACAACAAGAGCGCCGAGAGCATCAACACATTGCGCGACGACCAAGATTATTCCCGCAAGGTTCACAAACCAGTCTTGCGGGCGACCAACCCCGATCCTGAATGAGGGGATGGGGACATCGGGCGGATCCGGATGACAACACATCATCATTAACGAAGCACACGATTTCGGCCCCATTACAAATTTTCGGTCTTTGCATTGCGCTTTTGAGATACCAGGGCGGCGTTTCGTTTTCATTTCACAGAACAGAATAGGGAAGGGCATTGGATGAGGTGCCCTCGCTGCAACACCGGGCACGGGAGGGCCCTCGGACGAAAGTCAACGACACCTGCAGCAACACGGTATGGGCATCAGACCACTGAGTCACGGACACGAACGCACATCATCACATGGGCAGCACGAGGGCCACCGACTGATGGGTGGCATAATTTAGATTCGTTTTCACCCCCTTGGATTTGCGGTTTTCGGCAACATGACGGGAGTGCAAGATGAAAGCAAGGAGACGAAGAATAGTACTATAATCTGCACTCAGTGGTCGCAGAAGATGAGACTTGCCATCGGTATGAGATTTGGCCATGGGTCCATTGGTATAATGATGGACGGCATCTGTACATACAGGGGCGAAACGTGGACTGGACGCCAGTCAGCCACGAGCGGCTGGGTGGGAGAGATTGGTTACAGACGGTAACAATTGACACCGTTACGCGTTCACAGGACACAGTTCATGGGTGACGGTGCTCAGAAGACACGTAGTAGGCCATTGGCAATGCGGGGAGGGTCGCACGACAGTTGTCGAGCTGAGCTGCCGTGGGCCACAGGTCGTGTAGCCACGAGGGTCTCGGGCAAGGGCAGCGTGCAAACAGCGTCCTCTCCATGATCGTCATGAGCACCGGCAAGCGCACGGAGAAAAGATATATTCACTTCTAATCGCGAGAATCTTAATAACACAATAGACACGTAAACGATGTTTCAAGGGATGCAGTCCCCTATCTGGTGTGCAACAGATGTGATGTTCAGATCTGTTCTAATCGCCGCCGTTGTCTCGGAATCATGGCCTCGATTCCTTCCTGGCTCGGGCCGGAGCCGTTTGGGGGGGTGTCAAGCCCGTTTGCCCCAGGAAGGGATGGATGGATGAATGGGGGAGACTTTGCGCCGCGGCCCCCCTTACGCCGGTGCGGTCCCGGGCGGGCTCACGGACGCCGGTGTGCGTATTCGATACGGCGGACGGGATGATCCCCTTGCCGCCGTCGTGAAAGGCCTTGCTGGCTGTGAATGATATGATCTGACGACATGGCTTACTCTGTATTTGACCCACCGCAGTTCCATCCTTCGCGTAGGTGTGCACTGATTTTGAATTCCATGGAGGGTCGGGGTCGGGTGCGGATAGCGAGTTCCTGCCGATCGCTATTTGCAAAAGTTTGCGTGCGCGTGCGAGTGTGAGTGAGTGAGTGAGTGTCAGAAGCTGATGCCATTTTTCTTAATTTTTTATTTGAGTTGGGTGTTTTATGGACATGGATTGTGGCACATTTTGCGCAGCTGGGAAAAAAAAAAAAAAGCTTGGCCTTTTATGATGGGTGTGTTGAAACGTTGAAACGGACGGGAAGGGAAAGGATGAGCTGTGTGATCTGATTGTGTTGGTGGACTGGGGATTGGAATACGGGTTGCGTGTGGGATGGGATTTTAGGGGTCTTTTGGGCGATTGCAATTGGTGACCGTTGCGGTCTTAGTGTTCTCACATTGCGCTTGCAATCTTCTGGTGATCTCACTTGCGAAGAGGATGGGAAGATGTTGCCGCCCTCGGGCGATCGCTGTCAGCCGCATCGTCGAAGCGCGTTCAGGGGTTTTCACGAGGCAAGAGGTTGGAGATCGCGACGAGGCTTGGGGCTAAGGACCGACTCTGTCTCGATGACGCGACGCGGAAACGAGTTTAAATCCAGTAGTTTTGCAGATTTTTGCGGCTGGGAAATTTGGAGGCGTTTGTAAGTGGCTTCGTCGTTCCGTGGGGGAAAGGGGGATGCCGCGAGCTAACGGAACCTCCGTCTGTTGTCGGCGTGCTACCACCAAGGGGGTTCGGCACCGCACCTTGTGTTTGGTTCTTTACGTTGAGGTCAAAGTCAAAGTCCTCTGCCCTACTCCCTACTGCCGTTGATCTGGGTATGTGTCCCGTGGAAAAAAAACCATCCAACGGCGGGCGATGCTTCGAGTGCCGATTGATAACGGCCGAGATAAGAATAATATTTGACGCGGAACACAGGAAGGGAGAGAGAGACACGGGAGCGAGGGTCAGAGGAAAGTCGCATGTTTCGAAACAGAGTTGGGGCTATGGGAGACTTGATGCTTGGGGACAGATATTTGGTAGGGTCCTGAGTGTAATTTCAGACGATGGTTGTACGGTGGATGTTGGGAATTAAAGATGTTTTGGGGGCTGCTGAAAAGTATTCCAAGGGATGATGTCTCTTGTGAAAGAATGATGCACGTTTGGGGGAGATGGCGATGTTGGTTTGACTCGTAGTCCCGCATGTCGGGATCCACACTCTCTCGTATTGATGTACGGCGGCGGGTTGGGATTGTCGCTCACTGCCTTGATCCGGGGCTGCGTGTGCGCAGTACGAATACGCCGCATGGTGGCTGCCTTTGGGTCGTCCACTGTGGCTGAGGGCTGGGAATAGCTTCAGCTAATGTTTTTTTAAGCTCAGCGCGGCGGAAAGTGGGCGGGTGTTGTGGTGCCGGGACTTGGGCGGGCGATGCTTGGCATAATACTTCGGATGCATTGAGTTTTTTTAGTCTGCGGTCTAAGTAACCCGTCCCCCAAGTCGCGATGGGACGTGTATGTTTGCCGCGGCTGGCTTCTGAATTGAAAAGGACGTGACGTCGTCGTCGTTGTTGTCGTTGCTGTTGTCGGGCGTGGCTCGCCTGCCAACATGTCAAACGTCCGCAGTGTTCGTCTCATCAAAAGTTTTCTCGCGTTTGATCACCCTCCTTCGTCCGAGTTTGCGAGGTGTCGTGCAACGACGGGGACTTCAGGAGGTCCCGGCTTCGGCGGTGGTGGTCGTGGTCGGCGGGAGGAGGAATGAGAAGACAAGTCCCTGCATAAGGCGAAGTCTGAGATTCGTCCGGGGAATTTTTCTTGGTACGGATACTTGGTATGACTTGGTTTCCGTTTGGAACTGTTTTGTTATTCGTTCTCCGTGCGTGTGTGCGTCTTCTCAATGGATGTCTTCATTAAACCCGGATGCTGGCCGCGACCGCCGCTCGGGAAGGTGAGGGAGGGAGCCATGTTTCCTTTCCCGTGGGCCCCTCCCCTTGCCCGCTGCCCCCCTCCCTGGTTCCGAATTCCCAGGGCCTTATTTGGAAATCAAATAAGATGCCCCGTAAGTGTACGCGTTCCCGTAAGTACCTATGCGACGGACGATGTGATGCGCGGTGCTGCTTGGTGCGATCGATGGCTGGCAGAGCCTCTCTCTGGCACTCCCTCTGTCTGTCCGTGACCTGCGCGGTTCGCGATGGTGTCTGTGAGGTGAGCGAGGTCAGCACTAAAGTGCGTCATACCAGATGCTAGGCCACTTCGTCGTTAATGCGATGGGTGAGAAGTTGGGACGGTTTGGAAGAAATAGGTGCGCGAGATGCAGCATGATGCAAAAGGCGAATGGCGTCTGGCCATTCACATGGAAGGAGAACCCCTGAAGGAGGGTGCTGTGCTGGCCCGGAGGCGGAAGGGAGGTCGCTGCTGAATGGACGGTGCCTTCGTCAGCGGCCCTGTAATCTTAGCGCGCCGCCTTAGCGACCCTTGGCACAGCCACTCGACAAACGGGGGGCTGCAGCGAGACGCAGCGCAACAGACGGAGCAGCACCGGCCCAGCAGTGGAGGGGAGGAGGAGCAGGAAAGCAGGAGGAGCTGGGCGGAATGGATGGATGGATGAGATGGGATTGGCATGGGACAGGCTACCAAGAGCCATCATCTCACACTGGACTGGACTGGACTGCCATTTGCTGACCCCGGATCCTGCTCCTGGCTTCCCACCTTACCTACCATTGCCTACCTTACCGCACATCCAATCCCGGTGGCTCATACCGTTGCTCATTCGTGTCTCGCCTCTCTCTCAAGTCTCCATTCCCCTCCGCTTTCGCATCCTTTCTCTTGTTTTTTTTTTTTTCTTTCCCTCCTCTTCCCAAACCATTCTCTTGGCTGTCAGCTTTACGACAGCCTCTGTTCTCGGGTGCGTCTTCTGTTTCATTCTTCGACCTCAGGGGGAACCGCCTTCGACCGTCCCCCTTTCTTCCAGTACTATCTTATTTTGGTCTCTTGTTGCGGCATCGGGAACGAACACAGAACAGATGCGACGAGGACAGCAGCTGCAGCACGGAAAAAGATAGGATACTCGAACGACGATTGTAATTGCGCACGCGCGACGGCCGGTAATTTTTTGTGGAATCTTGCAAGAGGAGGATCGACCTGGGACATTGTTGGGGGGACCTGGCGACCTCACACGACACACGACCACACACCACGCTCCAACCGAACTGCGACTCGCGACTCGCGACTCGAGAGCCGGAATCCTGGGCAAAAGAGAGGGAGGGCGTTGCATTGCAGTGCGTCAGGCAATCAAAAGAGGAGGAGATAACCTCACTGGACCCTTACTCTTTTCTTTTTGATCCTTTTCTACGTCGTCTCGTCCGGCCGTGCTCGCGAGAAGGAACACCCTCCTCCGCACCACCACCGAGCAGCCACGAGCGACAAGCTCCGCCAAGACCTGGGCATCCGCTCTGGTACCTGCAGCCGACGAGTCTTGGCACTCACAAACCCAACCCACGCAACGTCACCGTCCACACCGAACCTCGACTTCCTCGATCCCGCGACACCTCTTTCCCGCTGTCTCGCACCTGGCCCAACCTTCTGCAGCACCCAACGGCCACCCCTTCGTGGGCGCTGAACCGTCAATATGAATTTGACGTGTAATTCCACCCTCGAGGACATGAGGAGTACGTCATCCAGCTAACCCGCAAATCCTCCCTCCTGCTCCGGCCGCCCGAATGAAGCTAACAAATGTCTCTCCCGTGCTCCAGTCCTCCCCGGCTCCGAGATCCTCATCGCCGGCCCGTTGACCTTCCACGACCTCGCCCTCGTCATCGCCGGCTCCTGTACCATCATCGCCATCAGCCTGTCTCTCTACCTAGTGTTCATGCACGCGAACAACTACACGAAACCACGAGAGCAGCGCCAGATCATCCGTATCCTGTTCATGGTCCCCGTCTACGCCGCCTCATCCTTCCTCCAACTATACTACTACTGGCATGCCGTCTACTTCCAGGTCATGAGCGACTGCTATGAAGCCTTCGCCATTGCTTCCTTCTTCTCCCTCATGTGCCACTACCTGGCCCCGGATCTACACACTCAAAAAGAATACTTCCGCAACCTGCACCCCATCAAGCCCTGGGTCTGGCCCCTGAACTGGTTCGCCAAGTGCTGTGGTGGTGACAGAGGACCCTGGCGCACGCCCAAGAGCGGTTTAACTTGGTTTAACATCAACTGGATCGGTATCTATCACTATGTCTTTATCCGTGTTGCCATGACCGTCACCGCGGTTGTCTCTCAATACTTCCACAGATACTGCGAGAGCTCCAACAACCCGGTCTTTGCTCACATTTGGGTATGTCTCCCTGCTTGCGCACATTGAGGGTCTCCACTGACAGCCATAGGTCATTTCAATCAACTGTGTAGCCGTGACCATCGCCATGTACTGCGTCATCCAGTTCTACGTCCAGATGCGCGAAGCTCTTGCACCGCACTCGCCCTTCCTCAAGGTCCTGGCAATCAAGCTAGTCGTCTTCTTCTCCTTCTGGCAGGTCACCTGTATTTCCGTCGCCACATCTACTCTCGATCTCGTCCACCCGAACGAGGTCCTCGCCTATCCCGACATTAAGGTCGGCATCCCCGCCTTACTACTATGCTTCGAGATGGCACTCTTTGCCCTCCTGCATCTCTGGGCTTTCCCGTGGAGACCATACGCTCCCGGCGCGAAACCTACCTTCTATCCTACGCCCGACTCCCGAGACCCCAACGCTCACCCGCGCGAGAATGAGCATGGGCCTCCATCCGGAGGCTGGCTCGGTTTTGGTGCCATTGGAAATGCGCTCAACCTTTGGGACTTTGTCAAGGCCTTCGGTCGTGGCATGCGCTGGCTCCTCTGCGGTGTCAAGCGTCGCAAGGAGGACCCTAGCTACAAGACGGCCGCCAGCCTGGATATGGATGATCTCGACAAGGGCGACACCTCCTACGCCCGCCCCGGGGCAAAGAGTACCGACCATCTTCCCATCGCAACCGAATTCCGCCGCAGCACCTACCTGCAGCCTTCGAGGCCGCCGCCACGTCCCGCCCGCGCCGACAACGAAAGCGACAGCCTCATCGCACACGCTCAGCCTCACGCTTCCGAGATGTCGCCGCCGCAACGCCCAGCGAGACCTGTATCACCAATGTCCCCCATCTCGCCTTACCAAGATAAGAGTTACGAGGCGGCCGGCATGGTGCCCGCCTGTCATCCACCACGCGAGGCATACCACCCGCAACGCGATGCCGACGCCGAGTGGGAAAGAACAGCTTTAGCGCCGAGCCCCGGAATGCCACCAAATGCCGTGGCTCCAAGTCCCACTGCCACTGGTCCACGGGACCTGACGCAACAGCGAATTGGGGAGGCTCTGTGGGGAGCGCGTAGCCCTGTGCCTGAAAGCCCTGTCTTGCCGCACACAGATCAAATGCCGACTGTGCAGAGGAGCGGGCAGCAGGGATATAACCAGGGATATAACCACAATGCTGGACCCGGGCA